ACAGTCTCTGACTGAAGGAGCTACCGAGTGCTGTCAGGGCTGGCCGGAGGGGGGGGGGGGGACTGTCCAACATAGCTTTTAGCTTAGCTAGCATCCTGCTGTTGCCCACCTCCTCCAGAGTGTCGAGGGAGCAGCCCAGGACAGAACCAGCCTTCCTGACTAGTCGCTCTAATCTCTTCCTATCCCGGGCCGAGATGCTGCCTGACCAGCAGACAATGCCATAATGGATGGCCGAGGCCACCACCGAGTTATAGAAAGTCTTAAGGAGTGACCCCTGAACCCCAAAAGACCTCAGTTTCCTGAGTAGGAAGAGTCGGCTCTGTCCTTTCCTAATCAGGGTGTCCGTGTTAGTAGACCAGTCCAGTTTGTTGTTTAGAAGAACACCTAGGTACTTGTAGGAGGCCACCCTCTCTATGTCCATACCCTGGATGTTCATCGGTGCTGGTGAGGACTGTTTCCTGCAGAAATCCACAACCAATCTTTAGTTTTCCTAGGGTTGATCTGGAGGTGATTCTGCTGGCACCAGTCCACAAAGTCCTTCGTCAGTCCCTTGTACTCCCGATCGTTCCCCTCTATAATGAGGCCAACAATCGCAGAGTCATCGGAGAACTTCTGAAGGTGGCAGTTTGGAGTGGTGTGTCTGAAGTCCGAGGTGTACAGGATGAACGGGAATGGAGCCAGAACAGTCCCCTGCGGCGCTCCAGTGCTGCAGAGAAGCCTGTCCGACTCACAGCTCTGTACCCTCACGTACTGCGGCCAGTTTGTGAAGTAGTCTATGATCCATGCTGTGAGATGGTGGTCCACTCCGGCGTTCTGCAGTTTGTCTCCCAGTAAATTGGGCTGGATGGTATTGAAGGCACTGGACAAATCAACGAACACGATTCTCACAGTGCTTCCAGCCTTCTCCAGGTGTGACAGCACTGAGTGGAGGAGGTAGATAATGGCGTCCTCCACGCCGATGCCAGGCTGATAGGCAAACTGCAGCGGGTCCAGTGCCGAGCTCACCAGCGGTCGAAGGTGGGCGAGGATTAGTCTCTCCAGCGTCTTCATCAGGTGAGACGTCAGCGCCACCGGTCTGTAGCTGTTCAGCTCCTTATGGTGGGGGGTCTTGGGCACTGAAGAAGTCCTCAGTGAGAGTGGGTGCACCTGGTGGTTGGGGGAAGGGACAGACGTCTGGTCAAAACGGTTGAAAAAAAAACGGTTCAGTTCATCTGCCCAGTCCTTGTCCTTCTCAGTCAATGTCTTTGGGCTGTTGAGGCCTGAGATGGTTTTCAGGCCCCTCCAGACACCAGTGACTTTGCTGGCCTGTAACTGGTCCTCCAATTTCATCCTGTATGTCTTCTTCCCCTCTCTGATCTTTCTTCTCAGCCGAATCTGCACGGCCTTCAGCTCCTCTCTGTTTCTTGACATAAAAGCCCTCTTCTTCTCCTTCAGGAGGGCCTTTATGTTGGGATTAATCCATGGTTTGTTATTGGAAAAACACCGCACATTTCTGGTGGGTACGGTGTTCTCCTCACAGCATTTGCATTTGTTGAATAGGAACCAAATGGAAAAATCCACCCATTTTTATCCATCTTAAGGGGCAGCTATTTTGCCATTTGCTGTAAACTTGCTCAAGGCTTAGGTAAAGACCAGTCATGGCTTATCTTGCGAACAGCACACGACCAAACTCAGAACACGACTCTGAAAATTGAATTAAAAAAAAAAAATATTGGAAACATTTGATAATCGATTCAGTGTCTATAAACTGTTGCAACTCAGTACAGTACGCTCATTCAACATTCACAATTGCAGTGGAAAAAGGATGGACATAAATGAACCCTTGCAATTCATAATCCTGAGAATTAAAATCAAATCAATAATCTCAACCGTGTCACGTTACGCACAAAGCGGAAGAGGAACCACTTCGTACGTAACAGGAAAACGAGAATAAGTGGATCCCCGAAATAGCAGACACTGACAAGGACTTCGTCACAAAAAATAATATTTATTATTAACAAAAAACTCTGTCTAAATAGACAACAGAAAACGCTGGTAAATAACGATAACAAGGAATTGATATAAACGCGACAACGAAAAGTGCTTGCAAAAAACGGCAAGGAAAATGATTCGGCAAATACTAGAATACGCACACAATTAGAATGTTCACAAGGAGACGTCGGAAAATGTAACAATCAATCAATAGAGTACGAGTAGCGCTTTATCAATACATGGGCAACAGCAGTGGCACGGCATTGAATACTCCGGCGATGAGTCGAAAGCCGGAGTGCTTAGATATAGCAGGTGTAATCGTTGACAAATAGGCAGCAGGTGTGTAGGCAGCAGAAATGAAACGCCTGCCACCTGCTGTCATTTACGGAACATGACAAACCAGGCACTTCCTGTTGCTGTGGATAAGTCCTGCACATCGTTGAAGAGGACGTTTAGCCGACTTTTCCTGGCAGAACTGTTTGAGTTCGATTGTAATCTCATGTGTATGCTCCCCTTTAAATCGTTTTTTGTTGATTTGAAGTCTGGGCTCTGATTGGGTCATTCCGAAAGGCAGATTGTTGTTTTTCTGAAGCCATCATGTTGTGGACTAGCTTCGGTGTTTTGGGTCATTGTATATAGTTTTCTTGCAACACTATTTTCTCTCTATATATATAATTTTGACCTATTTAGGACCCAATGACACTCAGTCTCAATCTGTGCTTTTAGGTAATCCACTGGAACTCTCCAAAGAAGCTTCGTGTGAAGAATAAGCACGTGGAGTTTTTCAGGAACCTTTACCTGACCTTCCTGGAGTACGATGGAAACCTGCTGCGGCGGGAGCTATTTGGGTGCCCTAGTCAGGCCAGTCCAGAGAGCATCCAGGTTAGATAAACACACGCAAGGAGAGTACACACACCGTGTTAGCACCATGTTCAGATAAAAGTCCTGAATGTTTTGGAAACAAACACACACACACACACACACACACAGAGGGAGAGAGAGAGAGAGAGAGAGAGAGAGATTCACAGTTCAAAAAACATCAATGATTCCTACATATAAATTATACACCATGAAAGGAGAGTGGTATCCGCATGTTATGTTAAAACCAAAAGGAAAATGAACTGATCATGCATTTCTGGTATATTAAGAAATACTGTGACAAAATTGAATCAAAATATACCATAAAAAGCAATATTAGAAATCCAAAATTCTTGATTTCACATATGATGGAAAGAAGCTGCGGGGAACACGACATAAGTCATGAGATGGAATTCAAAAGTGCATGCCTTTCTAGAAACAGAAGGAATATTATTTTGGAAAACATATCCAGTTATATTGCAAGTTATTTTCACAATTATTTCACCATAACTGAGGGATGACATGTACCGGTGTACAATTCATAATTTTTAGAACAGGCCCGCATGCATGCGGTTCTTGTGGACGACCTGGCGACCCCCCTTGCGTTCAAATGAATCAGTCGTGCATTATCATGTGGATCGCAGATTATTTGGGCATTGCTTGTCTGAAATTATTTCCTGTATACATCGATGCAATGTTGTGTGATGGTGCTTTCATTCAAATGCGGCCCCTATTCATCTTTGGCTCCAACTGTGTTTGGGACATTTTTGATGAATTTCCTTTGTTTTGCTCGCCCCAACTCACGTCCAGCATGTTTGTTTGGTGATTGTGAATATATGCACAGTATATTCCATTTTTTCTCTCTCTCTCTCTGAATTTGGTTCATTTTAGTATTACAGTATATTGCTGTATTTGTGTGTATGCATGCGTGCATTCTGCAAAAGCTAATGAGGATTTTGTACTAATGGGGATTGGCTAAACAATAACAGAAGAAAAAAAAACACTGCAAATGATATTGCGTGACGGTTGCAAGGCGGCCTGGTGGTCGACTGGTTAGGGCGGTGGCCTCACAGTGCAGAGGTGCACGGTTCGATTCTCGCTCTGACCTTGCTGTGTGAAGTTTGCATGTTCTCCCTGTGCCTGCATGGGTTTTCTCTGGGTATTCCAGTTTCCTCCCACATCCCGAAAACATTCATGGTAAGTTAAAATTTCACCATAGTTGAACCAAAGACCACAAACCCTTTTTGTTTAGTTGCAGACTGCTCTTGAGGAGCTGGATGAGGATGATCAGTGTTATGACTTCCGCCGTGAACGACTCACCCTCCACAGAGTCCATCTTTACTTCCTGCAGTATGAATATACCCCCACAGAGGATGAGAATGATGTCACTCTCGTAGCTCAACTTTCCATGGATAGGTACCTGCTATTAAGGCATTTCACTAAATTTAGAAGTAGAATATCCGGAAAATCTGGATAAAACGTTTGCCTGCCTGAAAAATGCCTACATAACATCTATTGTTCTAAGTCCAAGTAAACTTTGTAGCAATTTTGTACATCTGTCATTCAGCACTGTACTAGCAGGACGTTATTGCATTGTCTTTCCCCTTATAAATGTATTTAGTAAACTATCAATGCATGTGCAGTGAATTATGAGGTAACCTTAGTTGTAACACTCCTGTGCTTGTTACTGCTACTCCACAGATACATGTACGTGCTAACTAAAATAGGTAACCTATCACAGCATTGTATGTCTGAATAAAATGTGATTTTTCTGCGTGTCACCGGAAGGCTACAGATGCTGGAGGCCATTTGCAAGCACTGGGAAGGACCCATCAGCCTGGCGCTCTACATGTCTGATGCAGAAGCTCAGCAGTTCCTACGCTACGCTCAAGCCTCCGAGGTGCTGAAAAACCGCAAGAATGTCGGCTATCACATTGTTTATAAGGAGGGCCAGTTCTACCCCGTCAACCTGGTGAGGAATGTTGCCCTGAAGAATGCAAACACTCCCTACGTTTTCCTGACGGATGTGGACTTCTTACCAATGTATGGTCTCTATGATTATCTCAGGTAAGACCGGCTGCTGCCCTTCAGTCTACTGTATTTCAGCCGCCTGTTCACAATGGGACAGTAAATGCTTGGTGATCTCAGTCTCTCTGGTTTGTGCAGTGTTCATTTGAGTTAATTTCCTGTTTTTGAGTCCTCGTCGTGTAATGCAACAAGACTTTGAAGGTTATCGCTTCAGCTGCTTTGATAGTTGCTCCCACTAGTCTGTCTGCTGTCTTAACACCCTTCAAGTCTTGAACATAAGCACGTGGAGTTTTTCAGGAACCTTTACCTGACCTTCCTGGAGTACGATGGAAACCTGCTGCGGCGGGAGCTATTTGGGTGCCCTAGTCAGGCCAGTCCAGAGAGCATCCAGGTTAGATAAACACACGCAAGGAGAGTACACACACCGTGTTAGCACCATGTTCGATAAAAGTCCTGAATGTTTTGGAAACACACACACACACACACACACACACACAGAGGGAGAGAGAGAGAGAGAGAGAGAGAGAGATTCACAGTTCAAAAAACATCAATGATTCCTACATATAAATTATACACCATGAAAGGAGAGTGGTATCCGCATGTTATGTTAAAACCAAAAGGAAAATGAACTGATCATGCATTTCTGGTATATTAAGAAATACTGTGACAAAATTGAATCAAAATATACCATAAAAAGCAATATTAGAAATCCAAAATTCTTGATTTCACATATGATGGAAAGAAGCTGCGGGGAACACGACATAAGTCATGAGATGGAATTCAAAAGTGCATGCCTTTCTAGAAACAGAAGGAATATTATTTTGGAAAACATATCCAGTTATATTGCAAGTTATTTTCACAATTATTTCACCATAACTGAGGGATGACATGTACCGGTGTACAATTCATAATTTTTAGAAAAGGCCCGCATGCATGCGGTGCTTGTGGACGACCTGGCGACCCCCCTTGCGTTCAAATGAATCAGTCGTGCATTATCATGTGGATCGCAGATTATTTGGGCATTGCTTGTCTGAAATTATTTCCTGTTTACATAGATGCAATGTTGTGTGATGGTGCTTTCATTCAAATGAGGCCCCAATTCATCTTTGGCTCCAACTGTGTTTGGGACATTTTTGATGAATTTCCTTTGTTTTGCTCGCCCCAACTCACGTCCAGCATGTTTGTTTGGTGATTGTGAATATATGCACAGTATATTCCATTTTTTCTCTCTCTCTCTCTGAATTTGGTTCATTTTAGTATTACAGTATATTGCTGTATTTGTGTGTATGCATGCGTGCATTCTGCAAAAGCTAATGAGGATTTTGTACTAATGGGGATTGGCTAAACAATAACAGAGAAGAAAAAAAAAAACACTGCAAATGATATTGCGTGACAGTTGCAAGGCGGCCTGGTGGTCGACTGGTTAGGGCGGTGGCCTCACAGTGCAGAGGTGCACGGTTCGATTCTCGCTCTGACCTTGCTGTGTGAAGTTTGCATGTTCTCCCTGTGCCTGCATGGGTTTTCTCTGGGTATTCCGGTTTCCTCCCACATCCCGAAAACATTCATGGCAAGTTAAATTTCACCATAGTTGAACCAAAGACCACAAACCCCCCGAAAACATTCATGGTAAGTTAAAATTTCACCATAGTTGAACCAAAGACCACAAACCCTGAAAATGTTTCAACCAAAGGTTCTTTTTGTTTAGTTGCAGACTGCTCTTGAGGAGCTGGATGAGGATGATCAGTGTTATGACTTCCGCCGTGAACGACTCACCGTCCATAGAGTCCATCTTTACTTCCTGCAGTATGAATATACCCCCACAGAGGATGAGAATGATGTCACTCTCGTAGCTCAACTTTCCATGGATAGGTACCTGCTATTAAGGCATTTCACTAAATTTAGAAGTAGAATATCCGGAAAATCTGGATAAAACGTTTGCCTGCCTGAAAAATGCCTACATAACATCTATTGTTCTAAGTCCAAGTAAACTTTGTAGCAATTTTGTACATCTGTCATTCAGCACTGTACTAGCAGGACGTTATTGCATTGTCTTTCCCCTTATAAATGTATTTAGTAAACTATCAATGCATGTGCAGTGAATTATGAGGTAACCTTAGTTGTAACACTCCTGTGCTTGTTACTGCTACTCCACAGATACATGTACGTGCTAACTAAAATAGGTAACCTATCACAGCATTGTATGTCTGAATAAAATTTGATTTTTCTGCGTGTCACCGGAAGGCTACAGATGCTGGAGGCCATTTGCAAGCACTGGGAAGGACCCATCAGCCTGGCGCTCTACATGTCTGATGCAGAAGCTCAGCAGTTCCTACGCTACGCTCAAGCCTCCGAGGTGCTGAAAAACCGCAAGAATGTCGGCTATCACATTGTTTATAAGGAGGGCCAGTTCTACCCCGTCAACCTGGTGAGGAATGTTGCCCTGAAGAATGCAAACACTCCCTACGTTTTCCTGACGGATGTGGACTTCTTACCAATGTATGGTCTCTATGATTATCTCAGGTAAGACCGGCTGCTGCCCTTCAGTCTACTGTATTTCAGCCGCCTGTTCACAATGGGACAGTAAATGCTTGGTGATCTCAGTCTCTCTGGTTTGTGCAGTGTTCATTTGAGTTAATTTCCTGTTTTTGAGTCCTCGTCGTGTAATGCAACAAGACTTTGAAGGTTATCGCTTCAGCTGCTTTGATAGTTGCTCCCACTAGTCTGTCTGCTGTCTTAACACCCTTCAAGTCTTGAACAATACTTCCTCAAAGTATGAATGAAGTTGAGCTGTATCTACACTACAATGACTGCACCTGGAGCTACCAAAGTTGAAGCAGAAGGTTAGAGAGGACAGAGTGATTTCTATTGCTGGGCCCAAAATAGACAAGCACCATCACTATCCATTTTACAATCAGCCTTAAAATACATTTATTCCATAGCTTTCAAATGTAGCTTGAGAGGTTGCTCTTGTTTTTTTTTTTTTTTTTTTTGGTAGTTTTAGCTTTGTTTTTGTTTTTTGGTGGTTTCTAAATGGTGTTACTTTCACTTGTTGTGTTCAATTTGTACTTACGTACAGCACTCTCTTTCAGATGTGGTTATATGAGCTATAAATAAACCTCAGTTGAGTTGAGTTCAAGAGGCTCTTCACCCAATGTATGAAAAGCTTTTCTGTAAATACACCCACAGCTATGTAACATTATCCTGGTGGTCACCATTGTAATCATTTTGTTTATCATCTTCTGGTGTAGAACATGTGTGAGCAGCTGAGTCATCAGCAAGTGCATCTTAAATTCTGGTAATTTGTGTTGCGTCTCTCTCCCTGGACACGCAGGACTTTGATTACGGTTCAGGCATTACGTCAACAAGCTATCTTTTTTTCAAGTATCAAAGATGGTTTCTAAGTAGGCCAACAAGTATATATTTTATTGAGGAAATATAGAGGAGAAAAAAAAAGAAAAAAAAAGTCCAGATATATGAAAAATATATTTGGGTATAGAAACAAAGTATTTGTACACTGTTACATTACAACACAGGCAAATGCATGCTACGCCCAAAGCAACTGTTCAAAAGTCACTGATGAACAGCAAGCATCTACAGCAGGGGTGCCCAAACTTTCTGGACCGAAGATCTACTTTTCGATCAACCAACCTCCCAGGATCGACCCTTACTGCGCACGCATATATATATATATATATATATATATAAACACGTACAC